GGTGCAGCGAAATTGTTCGTATATCGAAACTCGCGACTATAGTCGGTGCAATAAAACGTGAAGTGTGTCGTTCCTGCGATTTGTCACGATACCATGGATCCGTTTCGAGAATTTCTCGACTGGCATAGGCTCATGACACCTGAGGATGCACTCGTAATAATGCATGATTAGTGTCACGGAGAACATCTGGTGTAGTGGGGAATCTTAAATATAGCAAAACAGAACATTGGCAACATTGTCACGAATCTAGTAAAGACTATATAGCATCCTCACACGGTACCAATGCTCCTGATTGCACAATACCTTGCTCGAAACTAAACATTCGAAGCGCACAATCTTTTCGTCCTATCTTTTCATCTTTTATTCTTTTTTAATCGCACTTTTTTTGCGTATATTCGCAACGAGCCGCGCAGGGTCGTATCAAAGAATCTTCTAGGTTTCTCGATCGTTCGAACATCTCTTTCGCGTGTATGCGAATGAAAGTATAATGTTTATATTGGCATGTAAAGTGGAGTTAAGTAGGATCACAAATAACCGTAATCATAAAACCTCATATTACGGCGGCTTAAATGGGGAGTGCGTTTATTATGAACAACTTAGTGTTTACTCGAAATGTATGCTCATAAGTGAACATATTTATCCGTGAAAAAACAAATCTCGTGAACTTAATAGTTGTTTAATCAAATTATTTATCCATTTTTATTTTTCCTTTTTTTTTATTTTTTTTTTTATTTTTCATTCGACGAACATTTTCGAATACGATATTTTTTTTTTTTTATCTGATCTGAAATTTAATATTAAATCGAACATCGAATAAATTCGAAACCAATTTATGGTATAGTCTATTGATTCTACGGTTCGTGCCCGGGTGAGAATAAATCCATTCCAAAAACATATTTTCACTCGAATTTTTCAATTTACATTCGCGTATCGATAAATAATCGATGATTCCCGGTTAAAGAGCGAAATGATTCATTGCCGGCGGTTCGTTTACATCGTTGTTACATTTTACAAAAATATTTGCAAACATCGCGGGACTCGCGGGATAAATTTACGAGCAAGTACAGACACACTCTTACATAAACAATTTGTTATATAATATTGAAGCGGCAAACAAAGTATACATGTTGTGACAAATATCTGTCGTTGCAAAATATATTTAATTGAAATGCAAATCTAAATTTAAATGCAACCGAAAGAACCGATTGGTAATATCGCAGGCAGCAGATTTCCGATCAATTCGAGCCGAATACTTATGCAGATTCGCGTCCGCTAAGTCACGAATCTTAAATGTTTACTTTCATTTGTAAACTTCCTCTGCGGCTGATAACCATTATACAACATTAATCTTATCTTTGCATTCACCATGCAAACGAGCCATCTTCCCAAGGTGCAATCTGCTGGGCGTGATAATTAGCCACAAGGTTGGACAGCGTAATAGCCGTGCAACTTTTTGCCCTGCGTTATGCGTTTTTCATTTTCATCTTCGCCGGATTTCGCGCGAATTATTCAAAATATTCTTGTAATTTCTTTAAAGAAATTGCAGCGTTTGTTCAAATGCGTAGGGGACTATCCGTATACAGTTCTATAGCAACGAAATATATAAAGTTTATTATCAACGAGAGACACAAATATACAGATATGAAAGAATGTGCGTGTCCTTGTGAGTTACAATAATGCCCTGTGCCGCGTTTAAGACTGAGAGTTTCTACAAAATGGAGGGTCTTTATAAACTAAAACCAGAAGTATGGCCGCCCAATAGGGAAGGTCCCGGCGACCCAATAATCGCCATTGACATGCAACATACCTTCCACCATTGTTGCAAGCCTACGGTTTATTGCAACAAATATAATTGCAAAAATATTCGTAATTCTAATAGGCTTAACATTTAACCAAGGAAAAAATTTGAATTTTGCACTTTGATAGGAATTTATATGATCGCGTTATCCCGGGAATTTTTAATTTTGGAAAAGGTCGAATTGAAAATTAAACAAGAGATAAAATACGAGGATTTTTGCTTTGCGCGTGACTTTCGAAATCAAACGCCCACGTTGTTTTCGGAGTCGGAGATGCTGGACTCGTTGGAAAGGACTCGAGGCGTTCACTCGCAGAAAGGCGCGTTTCCAACGAATCCTCGTCGTGTATTATCGCTACGATTTCGAGTAATTATCGCCGATAGGTCGACGGAGATTCCTCGCTCCTTCGCGACCGTGACCTTACTGACATTTAATTCTTAGGTCGTCGCCGGCTTCGAAACTCGCCCGTACAGGATCTGTACGTGTGTCAGATAGCGTGCACATTCCCATAACGCCGAAGGTCGTCAAATATTGCAACTAGACGAGTATCTTCGGCTTCAGTCGCCTGTTTATCTTGCTTTCATCGAGTAGTTCTTTCCCTCTGGCCCCGCTGCTTTTAAATTTAATTCCGCTTGCACGCGCGGTCGCCATTTGCATTGATTTTCTCATATTCCCCATTCTTTAGGATTATTCCAGTTGTGGGCAAGTTATCGACTGAAATTCCGCTAGACTGACTTGTATTCGGCCTGAGAATTCTTATGCTAGTTTGCTGCTTATAGTTATTTGACCTGTATCTTTTTCTAACCTCCAAAATAACCCCTGTGGGTTCTACAATTAGATGATGTTCTCGATATCATTGTATATATTGGTTATTCATTAGGTGATTTGAAATATACTTTCTCTCGATAATTTAAGGGAAATTAGTTCTTTCAACGTTTAGTATCACAATTTTGTGTTATAATGTAGTTGCTAGCGTCACATAACCTCACATTTGTGAATGTTTTAAATATTCTTAGAATCACTGTATGTTTTATGAGCTAAGGAAAAGGAAGAGATTTCGATATTTAGTGTCCTATTTGTAAATTATTAAGATTTACAGAAAGTGGGGCAAGAACAAGGTACAATAATAAGCATTTTTGATCGTGATTTATTATTTCTTCAAATGTTATCCTTGCACGTTACGAGATAGGTAGAAGCGGGGATAAATTAGCGATTCTTAAGCATCAAAAGAAAGGATGTCTGGACTATCTGTTTATTCCAAAATCTCCATCGAACGTCGTGTACGCGCGACAGTGCGCGTCTTAATTGAATTTACCGCGGTCAAGGGAAACCGTGGACTCGGGATAAAAGCTCTGGCGCGCGGCTGATTTATTGGCAAGGGATGCGTGTGCGCGCGCATGCGCGCCAGCGTCTAGAGAGGCCGCGAGTCACCTTTTTACACACAGCTGATTACAAAGTCGAGAGATGATATAACTGGATTTGCAAGTTGTCACGGTGAAAGAGCGAGAGGTTGGACGAGGGAAAAAAGGGGGCCGGCGGGGGAGGCCATTATTGTTCAAGGGCGTCAATGTACCGATTGAATTTAAAATGCTAATGCGCATCGCAGAGAAATGGCGGTAGGAAGGATTTGCGCTTGAACAAAACAGCGTGGCACTCGAATCGCGAGTTCTTCTGGATCAGGGGTTCTTAAACCTTTTCGTTTGTGACCACCGTTCGCTGGAGAAAATTGGTCCCGACTTCTTTCTGTTGAAAAAAATTTTTCGCGACCCCTTTTCGTCGAAGAATATTTTCCGCGACTTCTTTTTGCCGAGAATAAATTTTTCGCGATTTCCTTTTGCTGAGAAAAACTTTCTGCGATATCCTTTTACCGAAATAAAATTTTTCGCGGCCCCTTTTCATCGAAGATAATTTTCCGCGACTCCTTTTTGCTGAGAAAAATTTTTCGCGACTTCCTTTTGTCGAGAATAAATTTTTCGCGACTTCTTTTTATCGAAGAATATTTTCCGCAACTCCTTTTTGCCGAGAAAAAATTTTTTGCGACTTCCTTCTATCGAAGAATATTTTCCGCGACTCCTTTTTGCCAAGACAAATTTTTTCGCGACCTTTTTTGCCGAGAAAAATTTTTTACAATATCCTTTCATCAAAATAAAATTTTTCGCGACGTCCTTTCGTTGAAGAAAATTTTCGCGATGCTGTTTTGTCGCAGAAAATTCGCAGTTTATGAAGCTCTGTCTTAAATGACCGAAATCGGGAAGCTGTGGTTCTTGGCAGAAATATGTAGAAT